TAAATAATTACTTGAACTATAACATGTTCTTAGTTTGTAGCATTCAGCTTTGTTATCCATACAATTGCCTGAATACAGTGTAGTACAGTGCTTTAATTTGCAAAGTTGTCCATTTTTGAGTGACTATATGCAGTGGTGTGGTTTAATTATTAGTGTATAGTAGTTTGATTAAATTTAATTTAGCACGTCTGACCCCAGGGCTAGAACAAGTGTCATTTGTGTATTCAAGTTTGATTCAACATAAAAAGAGAATTCATTTTAAACCTCTCTGCCATTGCGGTAATAAATTGTCAGTATTCAAGGTTTCAAGCCAAAAGTTGAGTAGTGTAATTAACTGTTCTTGACAGCTAGTAAGAATGGTGTCAGATTAATATTTATAATTGTGAATACTATGCACTGATTAATAAATGCAATATATTTTGTAGGGAACTGATGATGTGAACCGCCATATTAAAGCGACAGTCTCACCTGCAATCCTTTTGTGTGGTGCCTCTGTGTTTGATACTTTGATAATATGTATGTTGTTGGGAAAGGAATAATGCTGTGTGACACTTTACGTGAATACAAACTTTTAGACTGTCTAAATCTGTTACTTTTCGTCCAATACACGTACAATTTGGATTTATATAAAGTTCAGAGAAGTGCAATGATATGTTTAGAGAAAGAGAAATCAACCTTAAGTTTGCAATGAACTCTAATAACCAAATCCCTCTTAGTGTTACCGTACTCAAATTTTTACTCTGTTGGGTCAGTGAAGGATTAAGACTTTAATGCATTCTCTTTACGCCTATGCTTGTATATAATTAGCATTTAGTGACGTATTAAATCCATTTTTTAAAAGGAGAGATATTTGTCTGTTTAATTACGTCCCATCTTATTTTCTGCACTGAAGGCTATGTTACACGAAACGATATTGAACGACGATTTATTGATTTGTGAATGTTAGAAATCATTTACATATCATAACCGTACCTAAATATCGTTATGATGTTTTTTATGCCTTTTGAATAGCTGAAACGACCCTTTTGAATAACTGAAACCACCCTTTTGAATAGCTGAAACGACCCTTTTGAATAGCTGAAACGACCCTTTTGAATAGCTGAAACCAATCTTTTGAATACTGAAACGACCCTTTTGAATAGCTGAAACGACCCTTTTGAATAGCTGAAACGACCCTTTTGAATAGCCGAAACCACCCTTTTGAATAGCTGAAACCACCCTTTTGAATAGCTGAAACGACCCTTTTGAATAGCTGAAACGACCCTTTTGAATAGCTGAAACGACCCTTTCGAATAGCTGAAACGACCCTTTCGAATAGCTGAAACGACCCTTTCGAAGGGTAACGTTCCTACCCTTTGAGGAGTTAAAACTACCCTCTGAAAAGGGTAGAATCTACCCTTTCGAAGAGTAAGCGCCGAAAGGACTGAAACGACCCTTTTGAAAGGGTAGTCCTGGGGTAAAAAAAAACTACTCCTTTGAAGGGGTCAAAACTACTCTTTTGAATTTACAGTGCAGTATAGTAAGGTGAAGCCTTTGTAAGATATGAACAAGTTGAAGATTTATGTAGGATGAAAATTTCGAGTAAAAAAATTGAAATTCCAAGGGCAGATCATGGAGATTTCGAGCGGCAGATTCCCCAAAATCTCGATATTTACTCACAGGTTCGATTCTTGCCAGATGACAGCATTTTCGCAGCTGCTCCTATAGTTAGGTCTAAAATTGTATATATTGAATCTTTCGTTATAAATTTGCATCTACTGCATGCAGGGTCGCCGAGAGGGAGGCAGAGGAGAACTTTGTCCCGGGCCCGCAAAACAAGGGACTCGTATAAAAATTTATTGATGCAAGATAGATGAACTCAGAATATAAATCCCAGGATCCAGATGAATAATACATCTAAAAATATCAGAAAATAGGAAAATTGTCGGCAAAAAATAGACGATTTTATGTCCAGAAAATTTAGTTTTCCGTCACCAATCGAACAATTTGTCCGACGCCATATGTCGCGAAAATGTTTTTATCAAGATTATGCGTTGAATTAGGGAGTGGTCATTTTTTACAGGGTGGTAGTGGTGGATGATTTTGAGGAGGGTTTCAAAATTTTGAAAGTTGCCGAATGAGGGGTTATGTTGATTCTTGACTTGAAGAAGGAGGGATTACTAGAAAAATTGTCTTAAAGCAGTTTTGATAAATAATTAAAAACTAAAACCTGATGGTGTTATCAAATGCCAAGCTGTAAAATAAACAACTTTAGTTTCAGCCATAACATTAAATTTATAAAAATCTAGTGCGCCAAAATAATAACGTTGGTCTTATTATTTTTAAGTATACAAGGTCAATAGAAGACTTTTTGTTTCAAGTTGAAATTGCAATGTTAAAACTCACGTTTCGTTTGTTTTTAATTTATGTTTTAATTTGTTAAAACGAATTCCTTGAGGAGGGGTTGAAATTTTTTTTGAACGTGTGAATGAGCAGTTGTAAATTTCAACAATTACTCAAGAGAGGGGTTATGGAAAATTTTAGCTTGCGCCTAAAAACGATCCACCCCACAAATAATGACCACTCCCTTACTATATGAGTAAATTGTTTAAACACGTCCGAATATATTGATCGATGTGATAAATTCGCGGCACTTAACCCTTAATTATCATAATTATAATTATTAAATTAAAATTAATGTAAAAGTTAACTTGAAACGCTTCGTAAAATGTTTTGAAATGTTCATTCAAGTAAACTACATTTTGCCGATAAACTGTTTTTACTTAACAAAACATGATAACTTTAATACAAATAAAACAAATTTTAGGTAATTTCAGTTCAGTCTTCAAATCAATTTGTTCGCCTTTACATTTTAAGATTTTAGATTCGACATTTCTAAGGCCACTGGTCTAGATAATATTTCGAACAAGATATTAAAAATCGCAGCACGTTGTATTTATGGACATCTTACCAGCCTATTTAATTTATCCATTAAGCATAATGTTTTTCCAAATGAGTGGAAATTAGCAAAGGTTTTTCCTATTTTTAAATCCGGTGAACGCAGTGACTCAAATAATTATAGACCAATAACTGTTTTGCTTGGTATTTCTACGTTATTTGAGAGATTGGTCTATAATCAGATTTATGCATATCTAATGAAATTTGATCTAATTAATTCAAGGCAAGTCGGTTTTAGGTCACTGCATTCAACTGTAATTGCATTACTGGATTTAACTAACCAGTGGTATTATAATATTGATAGAGGTATGATCAATGGTGTGTTATTTTTAGATTTAAAAAAGGCTTTTGACACTGTTGATCATAATATATTATTAACCAAATTAAGTTTCTTGGAATCTGTGATAAAACATTACATTGGTTTAAATCCAATGTTATGTTAATGGTTATTTATCTGGTAAAGTGCAGGTCAAAAGTGGAGTTCCCCAAGATTCAGTTCTAGGTCCTTTATTATTTCTTATTTATATAAATGATTTGACGACTTCTGTTAATCATGGTACTGCCCGAATGTATGCAGATGATACTAACGTATCATTCTCAGCATGTGTTTTTTCTGAACTTCAACGGCAGATGAAAAAAGACCTGGAACATTTAGAATCCTGGCTTATAGCCAACAAACTTACTTTAAATACGGTGAAAACTGAATATATGGTTGTTGGTTCAAAACAAAGAATAAATTCACTTGTGGGTGATCAGACACTTTCCCTTAACGATATTTCTCTACGTAAAGTTAAGAGTACTAAGTGTTTAGGAGTGACAATAGACGAATTTCTCAAATGGGCTGAGCACATAGATAATGTAATTAAAAAATTAGCGATCGGCGTTAGTCTTCTACGTAGAAATAGAAAAGTCTTGAAAAAGTGCGATCTTATGAATGTATATATAGAGCTATTGTAGAACCTTATTTTGATTACTGTTGTATAATTTGGGATGGCATCAGTGACTATTTGGCGTTAAAGCTTCAAAAACTTCAAAATCGTGCAGCACGTATTATTACTGGAGCCGATTATTCGCGAAGGTCCAGTGATATATTAAACGAATTAGGATGGGAGAAGTTGAGTGAACGAAGACAAAAATGCAAAGCAGTGATGATGGATAAAATATTAAACCATAAAGCACCGTCATGTTTCTTAGGTTTATTTAGACCAGAAACTGGTGCCAATTTTTATGATCTTCGTTCTTCAACAGAGAATGTCGAACTTCCACTAATTCGAACTGAATATTACAAGAGAAGTTTTGTTTACTCCGGCGCAAAAGTGTGGAACTCTCTTCCTGAAGTTTTGAAAAAAGAGAGTTCATTAAAGCGGTTCAAAGATCTTTTAAAAAATATCCATTTTTCTGCTGATCATTAATTAATTAAATTAATATATATTGCAAACTATAATATACGGTTTACAGGTAGAACAAAACTGTATATGATTTTGATGTAACCACCGTATTGAAATAAAATTTTTAATAATAATAATATATATTTATTATATGCATATATGAGTAAAATACCGTAAAATACGCCACTGATATTTCCCGTATTTCACTATAGTGAAATATGAAATCATATCTTACGCGGGAACGTCTCGCGCGGGACTCACGCTAATTCCCGCCATTTTACCGTTTCTGTTTTGAATATACAATATGGCAACTTCTCGACATTTTGTTGATGTTTCCGACGCGGACTTGGTAAGGTTTTCTGAAAAAAATGAAAATGAAAACACACACACACACATATATATATATATATATATATATATATATATATATATATATATATATATATATATATATATATATATATATATATATATATATATATATATATATATATGTCCTTCGCTTCCTGAGTGAAACCTCAAATGGCGGCGTGTTAACGTTAACTGACGATGTAATCACGCAAATAAAACAGAAGCATCCTGAGCCACAACCAGCAAAACTCGGATCGGTATTATTTGGTCCGCTCAACGACGAGATACCGGAATCTGTTTACTCACAGATCAATGGTGGGTGAGATGGTTAGACAAGCTGCTTTGAGAACAAAGGGATCCGGAGGCCTGTCTGGTGTCGATGCTAACGGCTATAGAAGAATGTTGGCATGTAAGTCCTTTAAGCAATCATCTACAAGACTGTGCGAAGCTATAGGCAGAATGACCAAGACTTTGTGCACACAATATATTGATCCTACCACTATTGAAGCATTGATTGCTAGTCGTTTAATTCCCCTAGACAAAGGCGAAGTTGCGGTAAGACCTATCGGAGTAGGAGAGGTAAAAAGAAGGATAAGTGCAAAATGTGTTATGAGCTTTGCAAAGAAGGACGTTGAGGAAGCAAGTAGATCGTTACAATTATGCGCTGGGCAAAAGTCTGGAAGTGAGGCTGCAATACATGCAATGAACACCCTGTTTGAAGCTGATGACATTGATGCTGTTTTACTTATCGATGCTTCTAATGCATTCAATGCACTCAACAGAACTGTGGCTCCGCATAACATCCGTGTGTTATGTCCGATAATCGCTGCCTACGCTATAAACACCTACAGCCAGCCAGCTCGGCTGTTTATTGTTGGCGGCAAAGAGATTGCGTCAGCAGAAGGAACCACACAAGGAGATCCTTTGACAATGGCCTTTTATGCGATAAGTACCCTGCCTTATTCTCGAGTCTACAGGCCGCATCTACCGTGAAGCAGTGTTGGTTCGCAGACGATGCGAGTGGAGCTGGTCGTGTGACACAAATCAAAGATTGGTGGGATGCATTGAATACTCTTGGTCCAAACTTGGGATATTTTCCGAAAGACGAGAAATGCTGGATTATTGTTAAGCCCGAAAAGGAAGAAAGTGTGAGAGAAGTCTTCCATGGAACGGATATCAATGTAACAGTGCATGGGCAGAAACATCTGGGAGCAGCGCTAGGTTCACGAG